ATTCTTCCTTATCCTTTTTATAAGTTGCCCAAGTGAGCAGGAGCATTGTCCATTAGAACTACCAAAGCTATTTCTAATGCCTAAGCGCCCAGTGATTTGCGCTCAGGCACCACTACATGTGAACTCCTTACGCGAAGACTAGCGCCTAGGTGCTATGATCACAGTGCCTAGAGGCCGGTGGCAACACTTATGCATTGGGTTCTAACCCACATGTCATTGATACATCTTTTCGTATGAGTAACAAATTTCATTTTGACTTTGCCTTGCTAGTCAATTTCATTAGTTTTGAACGAGCTAATCTTCAACATTTATAGTCTGATAACATAAGGATTGTTATTCAGAACCGTTGCTATACCCTTTCACATTGGTGGTGATTATTCGTCTAACTAATAAACAAAACATGCATAATTCATGTCGTGGTTGATGTGATTTAGTATAAGTTCATTTTTTCCATTTTATCTTTTACAGAACTTCTATGTGAGGCGAGTAGGAAAATATTTGACTCATGCTATTGATTAGGTTTAGATTGCACTGTCTCTAACTTTTCAACACAGTCTTTCTTTTTATCTAGGAGACAAAAGAGTTGGCGCTTATGCACTCTTTGTTAGTTCCAGAGAGTCATTTTCTTTCGCCTCCATGTCATAGAGGCCATTTCATGAGACCATTTTCATGATCTTATGGTGTTCTCTTTTCGATGATAGAAGAATGACTTTTACATTCACACATTCTCATTTGATTGTTATATTTTCTCTTTTTTTGTGCGCTTTTGTTGCATCTTATCATTTCTATGACATTTTGACTTCGTGTCTGGACTCTTGAGGTTAAGCCCTCAAAGTCCTTGCCAGAGTATCAAGTGTTATGACATATATATACAAGAGCAGTTGATGTAGTATATATATAAATCAAACAGGAGAATGATCGACGAAGCAAAAAATAGAACGAGAAAAATTACACAAAAAAAGAACACACAGATTTACGTGGTTCGGCAAGTTGTCTACGTCCACGGAGTTGCAGAGGATTTTACTGCTTGAGGAAATTTACACCAGTCGATCACCTCGACTTACAAGAGGAATCTCTGACTCTTCGTTGCTCTCTCTCTTCTTCTCTTTCTACACCGAGATACACCGAAAAAAACTCTATACTGAGATACACCGAAGAAGACAAACTTACAAGAGAAATAAACTCAATTTCTCTTCTGCCACAAGCCACCAATAAACCCAATTTCTCTTCTGCCACTGTCCCGTGGAAACTTGAAGAATTCTTCCTCTATCCCGAGGAAACCTAAAGAACAAAATCGTGATTTCTTGTGACATCTAGATATGAAGGAGAGTCTCTCCTGTTATCACGAAGAGAAGGAAGCGAAGGGATGCTTTGCTTCCCGAAATAGAGAAGGCGGGAGCGGTTTCTAGCGAAGAGATGCTTCTCTTCGCAAAAAAAAAAAGAAAGGAGGGAGTGGTTATTTTGTGAAGAGGTGTGACCCTTCGCGATCGAAAGCTTTGTTTCGCGAAAACAGAAGGAGAGGCGGGAGCGGGAGTTCGCGGGTTGGGTGGACCGGACTCCACGCCAGTGCTAACATCAAGGGGGTTGTGCCTGTTTTTATTGGGTTCATGGGCACTACCCCCAAATTTTGGTTTCTCGTACATGATGTCTCAATGTTGTATTTGCAACGCCTCAGAGCCAAGAAGGCAGCGTTGTCGTTAGGTTCATAATCTGAGAGTACGACAATGCAACAATTGGATGCACTACCCTAAAGCCACCATTTTAACGTCAGTAACCAATTTTGGGTAGTTTTTCACTTAACTTTTCTGTTTTGTTCCTAGAAAGGTGAATGATTTTGAACATTATTTCTAGCCTAATCCATGGTAAAAAAAGTTTTTCTGTAATTATTTTAAACATTATTTTTAGCCTAATCCAAATTTTCTATTGTGCAAAGGATGGGCAAAGAGTGTTATGGAGTTTCCAAAGTATAGAGAGGCTTAAGCGTGGTGTAACTTGTATGATTCTGCTCATTTTACTCATAGAGGATTTCTTGGTGTGGTTTGCTCCGTGATATTTTCCCTTTTTTGGAATTTTCTATGTTAAATCAGGTGTTTTTGTTTTGTGCTCTTTTATTCAATATTTTTCTTTGAATCTCTCGAATCATTTTCCACAATTGAGTATCTCCCAACATTTTTGTTGATTGTTGTGTTTAAATCGGATAAGTATGCTCATTTATTGCTTATTTGGTATTAACTTAGCACTGCTAAATTACTACTCAAAAGTTCCGCCGGTTTCATGTATATGATCAGGTTCAAAGCTTCATATTCATAATACATGGTAAAAAAAGTTTTTCTATAATTATTTTAAACATTATTTTTAGCCTAATCCAAAAGCGAAATATTAACACAAATTAGCTTAATTTTATATTTTAGATCGTGTCTGACGGCTACTTTCTCTCATTTGAATGAGTACAAGAAGTTGCATTGTTTGTTTAAGCAGTATGATGGTGTTCACAGCATAAAAAATATGATATAATATGAACTCATTATTAAATTTAACTTTATGTTAATTTTGTTTCTATTTCGTAAATATAATTGACGTGTGTTTAAATGTTCACAACAATAGAGTAATTAATTAATATCTTAGCATTGCAAGAAAATATATCACGCACTTAGATAATCAAAGAGAAATAAGTAGTAGAGACTCCTCAATTTTTTTGTTGAAAAACCCCAAAAAGGGAAAAAAATCATGAGTCTTAGCCCAGTTGAAATAATAAATTATGACTGATGAGTATGCATGTCAACTCTTCTTCTAAATTAGAGAAGATGAATTTATAAAATTGATCTTTGTAAATATACAACAATAATTTACCGATAATAGCTGTAATTTGATAGTAATGAATGTATTTATTGGAAAAATATTTTTATAAGATGTTATACGAACTCATTATTTAACTGTATGTCAATCTATTTTACTTTTGTAAACATAATATATAACCCACAAAATATGTATTATAATTTGTAAATATGTTAATTCATTTAATACACAAGTGAATCACACCGCCCACTTTAGCCTTGTGGTTGGCATAATGGCTCTTTCAGTCATGAGAACATTAGATCTAGTCTTAACTACATGATTTAATTCGAAGTACATGTGGCGTGAGTACATGATTAAATTCATGCCATCCCTGAAAAATAAATACTTAAATTAAAAAATATATATAATTATTATAAAAAGTTGATAAGGCGCATGGTGGGCTCAAGTGTCTAGTCATCGAGAAGATCTAATATTCTTAGGCCACCAATAATATTGTTTGTCTGCGTATAGATGGCATTGATATATATATATATATATATATATATAAACTTTGGATCCAATTTTTATCGAGCTATATACAGATCAACTCGAATTATTTTTTATTAATTAAAATTATATATAATTCTAAATAAAACCGAATGTATACAATGAGCAACTAGTTGAGTTTGAGCTGAAATAGATCCAACTTAACTTAACTTGAACCTCCTTGTTTTGATTTGAAGTCAAATTGAGCCCATTTCGAACTGGAATAGATCCAAATAAATCAAATTTAGGTCAGCTCGTTTCGATTTCGAGCTAGACGGAGCTTGATACAATTTCCCGCCAAGTTGACTTGAAATCGAATATAACAAGTCACAAACTGATTCCAATCCTAACTCAATCCACTCGAGCCGATTTTGAGCCAACACCAACCCGGCTTGAAATCTTAACAACCCTACTTACCATACAATTCCTATAGTTAAACATATCTAACAGCTAAACTTTAATTTTTATATTTATTACACCCAATCGTGTATATCACCTAAAAACACACTATTATTAAATCAACAAAAAATATAAAAGGCGACATAATCATCAAAACTTGCAAGTTTTATGTCAAAAGATTAGGTTAATTGTCTCCTCTCCCAAACAGCAATCTAAACAACTTGCCTAACTCCACCCCTGATTTGTTCTCCTTCGACCAAAACCAGCCTTGTTCAATAGAGGTCTGTACTATCGGAGACAAGAGCCTGATTTTGCCTTGGATCCTAACTCTGATATCTTCCTCTAATGTACACAAGATGTATATTCTAAATTTAGAAAAGAAAATAAAATTATGGTCTTGTTGAATGTAAAATGGGAGCGGTTAGGAAGAGAGTGAGGTCAGGCTAAAGGTACTTGGTTCTCAATGATATGAGAATTTCGGGCAGGTGACCAACCTGACATCAGCAACATTGATTTTATACCGCTATTTTATATGAAGGCATCATCATTGACATAACAACACGGACAGAGAAGGGGAGAGAGTTGTGGGTGGACAAATCAATCGCATATTAAAATCGCTAAAAGGCTCATATCATTGAGAGTCCAATTGGCTTCAGACACTGACAAAAACAGTATTGTTGGTGACCTAAGAGTATTAGATCTTCTAGATGACTAGACTTTTGGCCCCACCTTCCCCCCCTTATCAACTCATTGTCATTAATTTTTACATTTATTTTATGTGAACTTGAATCATCAATTCATGAATTCATGTTATGTTAAGTCCCGATCAATACTCCACCAACTCAAATATAAGCTGTTAAATTATGATTAGTACTAAGTTATTTATTTATTTATTATTATTATTTTGTGTTTTACAAAAATGAATGGCCGGAGGCTATGATACAAGCCTCGGCCATCATGTCTATAATTTGAGTACCACACCTTACACTCGGGGGGGAATCGAACCCCAGATCAGAGAGGATGTACAACTGACAAGCAGATGCCGGACCAACTGATATGAGTACACGGTGCATGAGGGATGATGACGGCTTATATATCAAATCAATATGAAATATACATATATAGATTTTAGCTTGTATTAAAACTGAACTCAGAGATTCGAAGCCAAGCAATTGATTCTGATAAAAAAATTATCTTCTCGACTTAAAAACTGATCAAATCTGAACATCTCAGCATATAGAACAAATATAACAGAACTTAGAACACTTATTTATTGCTGCAAAAGCTCAATATTTTCTGAACAAGAAGATTAAACCAATTACAATTCTCAGACGCAACAATCGCAATCTTATTTTTCAAAGCGAAGGAAATAAGCGTAATAGAGATACCACAGGCTCATACAAAAACTACAAAGAGATCTCCCAACAGGAATCGTTCAGCAATTCCAAAGGCAGTTCTCAAAAGAACTCCTCCCGAATTCGTTGTCACAGTAAATCTGGGCGTTCATTTCAGCGGCAAGGCCAATCTCGTCTGAGAAGTTCAGCATGTCTCGATCCTTCTTACATCCATACTTCTCATCAAAGCCATGGCTTTCAAACAAGCTCATGAAGCTTCCGTCATAGAGAGAGGTGGGCATCGGAATGAGATTGGAGAAGAAGAGAGAGGACATATCTTGGTCATGGGCTTTTTGGCCCTCCATACCATTGGAGAAGCAGGGCACGTGAGTTGGGATGTCCATTAATGGCGGAAGAGTATTTGGAGGAGGAGGAGGAGGAGGAGAATCTTCAATCTCTTCTCCAAAGGAGGAAGAAGCCATTTTTCCCATCCCGAAAGCATTCCCAAGTGAGCTCTTTTTGAAAACCCTGCAGATTACCCACTCACTCTGTTACAAAACAGGGGACAAAGAAATTAGTTAGTCTATGAATAAAAAGAGCACAGTGATAAAAACAAATCTCAACTTTAAGCACTTCATCCACCTTAGCAGCTCTGTGCAGGCTGTTGATGCAATACTTCCCCTCCAATCTATACTCATGCATGACCCAACTGCTCTTCTCTCCTCTCGGCGCTCTTCCTGTGTAAAAAACAAGGGTTTTCTTCATTCCAACGAGCAGCTCCCCTCTGTGAATCTCCTTATCCTTACCTGTAGCTTTCCAGTAGCCAGCTACAGTGGCCCGATTCGTTCGAAGGCCAGTAGGGTACTTTCGATCCCTAACGCAGAAGAAATACCATTCTTTTTCTCCCAGCTTAGCATGCTCTGTTACCAAGTTGATTGAAATGAGAATAAAAGGTTGAAGAAGTAGAAGAAGAGGTGGAAAGGCTGAAGCTTGCTTACTGGGAAGATCCCATGGCTCGCACTTGTTGAGGTCAACTTCACCGATTGCAAGGGATTTGAATCGTGAGTCTACGAACTTATTTGAGAGGTAGTAGGTGATGAGCTCCTCATCTGTGGGGTGGAAACGAAAACCTGGAGGAAGAAGCATCTGGTCCGCCGTGCCTTTTTGACCGTTGCTAGTGGATAATGCTCTTTTCTCCATAACCAGACTGAGAGCTGAAGAAAAATGCAGGACGATGAGTTTCAGAACGAATTTTTTATGAAGAACATGAATCTAAGTAGAGAATGAGAAGAAGGGAGATCAAACCGAGGAATTAATATCAGATGGGAAATTAAAATAAGTTAAATAGGAAGTAGCAAGAAGATGAGTGGCGGCGGAGGCATGGGGAAGATGAAGAGTGAGAAAATGGAATGCTCTGTTTCAGACGTAGTGGCTAACCTTTTCCGCTTGCTGAAGTGGCGGTTTCCGTTAAGGAAAAGAACGCTGTATGCTTATTTGCCTCTTTTAAATAGCAAAAAAATTTGTTTTTCTGATTAATTTACACAAAACACATTAATAATAATAATAATAATAATAGTAATAAAAGCATCTTTAATAGCTGACATTTTGGATGTGTATGATTAAATATGAATAATGTTATGCTATTAAATAGATTTATATGATAAATTAGTTTTCTTTTTTATATCACATTATTGAGTAATGCTTAAATTTAAAAAAAAATATCTGGCATGATTTAAATTTTATTAAATATAATGCTCCAAGCATGAGTGACCCAATCACAAATATATATTCCTTTTATAGAGCCTAACTAGTTATATTCTCATGCTGGTAAATTAAATAAATAACTTAATTAATTTACATAATTGAATTTTTTTAATTTCAATAACAACTGACATAATTCATTTGATACTATTTGTTTTCTTGATGAATTATATATATATA